ATAAACTACTACTTACTTCTTGTACTACTATTCCTACTTCGCGGTTTTTCACTTATGGCGCGGCTTCAGGGTACGGACCCCCCCGCGATAAACGAGGGACTACTGTAATAAAATCCCTGCATTTGTCATACCTGGAGCGTGTTCTCCATGAGGTGCACACCACGAATCAAATTCAGAGACGCACACACAATATTAAGGACGAGCGACAGGATGCCCGGTGGCGTCACTGGTTCAAGCCTCTGATTCTTACCTGCAAAAGAAAAAAAATAAGTTAGTAGAAAATATTTACAACTGTTAAAAAAAAAAAAAGTTAGCAACATTTTTGAATTATTTGAATGTGATATAATCAATGTATAAATTCTGTATACATGTTTGTAAGCTCTCATACCCAAGGCTGAACTTTGCTCTATGTGCCCATTTGCAGTGCCATTAGCTAGCTCCACTTCTTCCAAGTTTATTACTTGTGGTGGGCGGATTCTCAGATCGTCCTGGACTTCTACCAGAGTCACCTCCAGAGTTGGACCACCACTCTGGTTGTACTGCTGCTTCAGCTTTTGAATAGTGCTGTCTGTTAGAGAGAAACAATTATGAAAAAAGAATCAAATTGTCAAAAATGTGACCGCATTTCTCTTCCCTCACCAAACTCCAAAAATGGATATGGTCTGGCTGCCAGGGCAACAACAGAGCTATCGAAGCGTGCTGTGAATTCCCAGCGCAGATCTTCCAAGAAGCAGAAGGCTTTCGCAGCAGGGAGGCTGCTGCGGCACACACTCATGTAGGATACACCCTCTGAAGAGGTGAAACTGAACCGGCAAGACAAGAAAAGGTTTCAGTCAAACAAACAGGTGAGTTGTAACTAGGCTTCTTCATCACAAAATTAAACACACAATTTGTTTTAGACTCGGCAATGCCTTTCTGCAAAGAAAGAGGACAAACTCCAGCTTTTTGTTTTCTGAATGCTTACTATAAGTTGAGCTGCTGGCCCTTAATAGTGCCACGGTCAGAAAAACTGGCCAATGACTTGCTAATGGTTCTGAGTTGCTGCTTCCTCTCCTGCAGCTCCCTGTTGTGTTCAAAGTCGGTGGAAGCTGACAGAGGGAGTCCATCCCTGACCCGCACCACAAAAGCAAAGAGGATCAGAGACATGATCCACGGTCTCTGTGAAGGACACACAGCCTGCATGGGGAGAAGAGCAAAATTAAATAAACAGAATTTGTGCGTTAAAAACATTTTATTGACTTTTACACAGCAATTCTGAAATAGTCTATTTTTAGAGTTTATAATAATGAATGCAATTGTATTTTAGTTTGTGGTGTTGTGTACCTATACTGCACTCTCTCACATGTGTTTTCAGTACAATACTTGTAATTGTATACATGAATACTTATTATATTGTAGAAAATAGTCTATGTGCCAAATCCAGGTATTTACAAGTATTAACTTAAGTGGAAGAAATTCAAGCTGGCAACTCATACAATATTATAATAAATATATATTTTGAGTGATAAGTCTTTATTAGGAATAAAAATTAACACTACTTCTATGAATAACAATGAATAAATTATAAGATTTACTACATAAAACTTGAAACCTGCATACTTTCCACGTTGAGAAGCCAGGCTTTTAAAAACTAACATAAATAAAATATTTAATGCAACAACGTGTTTCACCTTACCTCATTATATTTATGGAGCTCATCCTCATGCTGCTAGTAAGCTAAAGTAAGTTAGCTAACTGTAGCATTATAAACACTAGTCGATGAAAGCCAGCACAGAATATGCGAATTATTAGAGCAAATTATCATTAAAATTGACTGACAACCTATAAAAATATTCAAGAAAGACGAGATTTTTAATATGTCAAACGAGCTAACTTGAAGTTAGCTTCCAGAAGGAACAACAACAACAAAATCTTCTACGGTATCCCAGGAAGACCAAATTTACTCGAGAACGCCTTCCGATGAAGGAAGTTAGCTGGAGCTAATCATCGACCTCCGTCAGTGACTAGCTTTTTTTGGCTAGCTACTGTAAGTTGGTAAGTTATATAGCCTACAACTTTAATAATTTGAAATGAAGATTGTTGTGCTTACAGTTTAAAAATATATATTTTTCCTAGAAATGTATCGTAAGCTGCTGTGCTTACTTAGCTAGGTTTAGCCTTTAGCTTATTGGAAGCGCTTGGGTATGTGTTTGCTGCTGTTAATCAAGTAGATCATGGAAATACATTGCTTTATTTACTATAGTTTAAAAGGTTTAGATGCTTAGTTGCCTATACATGTTACATTTCGAAATATTTTGGGATCAATGCACATTAATAATTAAATATACTATTGTTTGTTTTGCTTGCAAACACTCCAGGGGGGTGGGGAGGGATGTCGGCACGTTTGATGCCTAGCTGGATTTGAAGTTAAATGCTATTTTTTTTTAACAGAATCGTTACAGTCTTAGCAGGTGTTCCCTGTAAATCAAGTTAAGTTAGAAACATGGAGCAGGTTTTGAAACCAACACAACGAATGCAGACCTTTTTTGGTATTTTGGGAATGTGAAGGTGAGGACCAACCAGCTGCAAATTACCACAATTGCTTCCAGCTTTTGAGTTCATACTATTTTATTCCAACTTTTACTTGAATATTAAGATCATCACTGCACTACCTGCCTCTGTATTCATCTGCTTAAAGCTTAACATTAGTTTTGACTTGCTTTTACGATTTAATCAAGTTTGTGTATTTAATGAGTGCACTGTAGATAAGATTAGTCTTTCATGTTCTATATCTTATCCATATATTTAACTCTGCTCCCACTTAATCTTTATTAAGATTTTGTTTAGTGTGCGCTGACTCTTAAGTTAGTAGAAACACAGATTTGCAGAATGTGGTTAGGATGAACTTTGGAGATTCATGCAGGGCTGAATGACTGGTTCCCAATTCAAAAGATTTATTTATCTTATGTTATCAAGTTCTTTGGAAGCTTGATATCGACCTATTCAGTTCCATTTAAAAGTTGTGTTGAAACAGATAAATATCTAAAACACAGTACAGTGGGACCTGAGGACCAGAATTTGGAACCACTGCCCTGGATACCCCTTTGGCATAAATTAGAGCACATACGTCAAACTCAAGGCCAGGGGGCCAAATGTGGCCCTCGTTGACGTTTTCTCTGGCCCCCCCAAGATGATGTGTTAAACGTAAAATGCTTTTATCACTTGAATTATTTTTAGTAATCTTTGATTATGATGTGGAAAGTGCAACAGAGAACGTCAAACGAGACCAATCAGACTCACGTGACCAAGAGAAGATGTTGGGGTTTCTGACTTGAGTTAATGTAGTTTCTGAAAACGGCCCTTAGTTTGAACCAAGTTTTTAAATGTGGCCCCTTTCTACTATATATTTTATATTTCACTTGTTAAACAAGTCCCAGTAGACATCTAATGTTAAAAACATAAAAATAACGTAAAGCTAGGAGGTTGTGATGTGTTCAGACACCATATTTCCTCCGTCTTGTGTCTCTTCCCCTCCCATCAATCTGTTCTCCTCGTTTTTGTTTCCTCCTTGTCGTTATTTCGTTCTTAGTCTTCTCAACGTGTTGAACCATTTAGGTGTTAAACAGAAACAAGAAAGGAGTGCCTGTGCCTGTTATGTGGAGTTGCAGTGTTTTTAAAAGAACATTTTTGCTTAGTTTCTTAGCATTTTTTTTTTGTACTTTGTTTATTTTTAGGTCACCTTGACTGTCATCACAATGGGAGTAAAAGACCGTCCTCAATGTTACTTTGATGTGGAACTCAACCGGGAGCCAGGTAAGGAGATACTTTGTTCAATTTAAATGTAGGATGATAGTCATGTAGTCAGCTTATGTTACTTTTGAACTTTAGCGTTTCTCAAAAATAAGTTTTAATCCATGTGTTTTTGTTTTTTGTGTCGTTTGAGCTTTTATTCTACAAAATGAAAGTGGAACACCTGGTAGTACGTTGGTTTGATAGACTGGTTTACTGTCAGCAATATCTGTACTAAACTGCTGTGATCCTCTCAGTCTTTTACCAACATTTAAATTAGTGTGTATTTAGAAAAACGATGCAGACATGCATACAAAAAAAAAAAAAAAACTGTTGTAAATTTTGTTTTGTAAACTTTTTTTTTCTTGTTTTGTAGTTGGGCGCATCGTCTTTCAGCTTTTCTCAGATATTTGTCCCAGGACAAGCAAAAACTTTCTCTGTTTGTGCACTGGTAAGTAATTTTTAGTTCTTGGATGTACACTCCCTTTGTCCAGGCTATTGTTAGAAATATTTACGACTTTATGAAAAAGTGGTTTTGTTTCCTGTTTAAAACATGTCGTTGAATGTACAGAAGCAAAAAGTTCTCTGAGGGTTTACTTGTAAACAAGCTTAATTTTGTACTGCAGTTAATTAGAGTATTGGCATTTTTCATAATATAATAATATAGAAAAGATAAATAAAGGCATGGATTTTTAAAATCGCCTGAATCAGAGCACCCCGCTGTGATATAGGTGTCATATTCCACCCTTTCCCTCTGGAAAATGTGTTGCTGACTGAGCTAAAAGTTGGCTGCACAGCGAAGTTCAAAAGTGCAAATACTCAAATCCACACTATTTACCTGGTGCAGTGTTGCTGTTACTTTCCCTTGGTCTTTACTGTGTTATTTCAGATTGTGATAATCTTACAGGAGATGTAATCAAACCTTAAATCTGTGCTAATGCCACTGAAGTAAAAGATTAGCAACGTAAGCGTCTCACTAAAACAAGTAGAATTATTTAGGCTGAAAGCGAAGAATAGGAGAATCCAGAAAACGTTTTGTGAGCTCAATCATCCAGGTAGATGGCAACAAAAACGGTTGTCCGATATTGTACTTTATCACTAATATCGGCCGAAACTACGCCGATAGTATCGTGCATCCCCACATAAAAACATTTTTTCTCACTGTGTTTGTTTAGCTCAAATTAAATCTATGCTGCATTTCTGAAAACTTAAAGGCATCACACAGAACCGCCGGTTTCATCTGTTAATTTTCTTGTGATTGCAGGTGAGAAGGGAACAGGGAAAGTCACAGGGAAAGAGCTGTGCTACAAAGGCTCCACTTTTCACAGGGTTGTGAAAAACTTCATGATACAAGGAGGCGACTTCACAGAAGGTAAAAATCACATCAAACTTGCTTTTAAAGTTGTGTACAGCTGAAATGTATTTAATTAACTTTGTTGCACAGCTTAACACAATTACGATTTATTTTGAAAAAGTTTAAATTTATTTTGTGAATGGTTGCAGGAAATGGAAGAGGGGGAGAATCCATATACGGTGGCTATTTTGAAGGTATTTGAAATCAATTGATTTAATAATTAACCTCAATATATGTCATGTGTATCTAAGTACTACAACACAAGCTTAATGCTGCATGCGCTTCTATTCAAATCAATTTCTGGTGATTGTATTTATTTATTTATTTTTGTGTAAATGTGTGACTTACTTTACCTGTTTACTTGTGAACTTTATTAAATCAGCATGGGAAGTAGCCATTCTCTTTACTGAAAGCTAAAACTTTCAACATATTCTCTTATTTATAGAGTGGTCTTTTGCAAAATGAGCAGGTAAGAGTACACAGCTCAGTAACACTATGCCAACATAGTTTTCACCACAACAAGGCACCTGATGTATGTTCTGAAAGATTCAGTCAGATAAGTCCTGCAAAACTTTAGACTCCTGAAATGATTACAATTTTGACACACAATGGATTTTTTCTCTCCAACCAATTCTAAATGTTTCAGAAAAATGTCTATTTTTGACGACAAACCTCAGAACTGTTCTAAAACTAACGTTTTTTTTCTACAGATTTGGCTGAATCCCTGAGGTTTTTCAGACTTGTTTAGAGGAGCGGTGTGAGAACGCTGTGATTTAATTTGGTCCAAATTGAACAAATTTCTGCAATGACAGGATGTATACATTATGTTTTGTTTTCTGCTCTGAGTCCTGCCTGTTCAAACTGAACAGAGTGTTTCCAGAAGTGAAACACTCCACAGTATTATCTGTTGTGTTCTCCTTGTGTGAACTTCAGACATTGTCCAGTCCTAAATGTTCTGGCATTATCCAGTGACTGTCGCAGGGTCAAAAACTTTTCAGACACACAAGTTTGTCAATCCTGGCTGCCAGGTTAGGGCAATTTGAGTTGTATTCACCGCTGGAGTAGAACCCAGAGAAGGGTAGAAGAGAGCACCTACTAGTACATAAATTATATTCACGTTCAGAGCTAGTCGCTGGGAGACCAAAAACATGTCAAGGAAACTTTTTCCTGCTATATATTGAATGCAGAGGCGAATGAACTGCTCTGAACTGACGAGGAAGAGGATAAAAGCAAACAGCAGCTAAAAGGTCGCCTCTTTGTTAGAGTGCAGAGAGTTTAGACTCATTCAGCAGCTGCAGCTGGTGGACGACAGCTTCCATGTTTGCTTCAGACTGAATAGAGAGAAATGTGACGGCCTCTTTTGTGAACGCAGAGTCGCACCGAAACACAAAACCAAATTCAGGCGGCAAAACCTCAAAGCTGTTGGTGGATTCTCAGACCAACTCTAATATGTTTGTGTGGTGGTAGTGGGGGAGTGATTCTGTCTGGTTGGGCATGCAGAGCTATTATCAAAAGGTATGGATGATACACCACGTCACTGTTCAGATCAAAGGTTCCTTGTGAAGGAACTTCCAACAAACACATAGTTTTTTGTCCTATTTGGATCAATGAGCTTTTCTTAACCAGTGTATGTGAAAATGACTTCCTAGAGAAACTGTGATACTTTAAACGTCAGAGCTGCTGAGCTGGTGTGGTATTTAGTTTTAGAAAGTTGGCATTAAACACCTTAAACCACCAGAAAACACCTGGAGGACCGTGTCGCGCCATTAAAACAGCCTATTTTATCAAATGGACGTGAGAGCGTATCGGGTTAATCTAATAATTCAAAGTGCGTTTGAATCAAATAACACTCTTAAACTTTGATTTGTTTTTTTTTTTTTTGTTTGTTTGTTTGTATCTGACAGATGAGAATTTCATTCTCAAACATGACAGACCCTTCCTGTTGTCGATGGCCAATCGTGGGAAGAACACCAACGGTTCACAGTTTTTCGTGTGAGTAACCATCACTATTCCTGGTATTCGTAATATTCTGTTGTTTTTTTTCTTCGTGCACTTCCTCTGTAGTGAGCCTGCAGAGTAGGTATTGTCATTTCTCCCCTCTCTCTCTGTGTGCAGTTAGATTCAAAGTGCAGAGAAACATTGGATTCTTTCTTTTTTTACCCACAAATGTGTTACATTTTTTCTCTTGCCGTTTTTGTGTAAAATTTACAGAAACTCTAGCATCCTGCTCTTCCAAGGTAATGTGTCTCAAAGGCTGTGTTTCTCTCTTCCTCTTTCTCCTGTCTGTATAATTCTATAGATCTTTATATTTTTTATAAATATTCTGCACATTACAGTGTTTCCTTATGATGCATCTGGCAACCTCAGAAATGGCTGAACTCACGTTATTTGGTAGACAAACACAAAGTTATCACCATAAATTATTGGTTTTCTTTTATGAATGACAGTTTATATAAACAGTTAAGAGTGGAGATGTAGATGGACTATTATTTTTTGTAAGGGTCGATTAGCTCACAAACACAATCAGGTCATTTGTCTCACTCTTGAGTGGTATTATATTAAAATTTAAAGGGTTGTCAAAACTGATTTGAAATCAAATCTAAACTGGATCTATGTCGTTTTGTCATTATCCCTTTTTTTTTAAAGAGTTTTCCTGTAGCATCCTTATGTTGTCTGTTATTTTTTTCTAATTGTCCACCCATCTTTTTTTTTCTTTTTTCATGACTCCACCAACATCACTGGTTGAATCCCGATTTGGTTTACTGGTGAATTCTATAAACAGCACAACTAAGATGGCGCCACACCTTGATGGGTAAGAAATTTCACCTTCACTGTGACAATATAAAATCGTCTCGAACACGATAAGAAGCAGTAAAGCATCTTCCTGGGACTTCTGAAATTAGCTTAAAAGAAAATAGCTTTTAAACAGGCTATGCAAAAGCACTGTGGTACTGTAGTTTTTTTGTATTTTGACTGCAAGATGTCACTGAAAATTGAGCATATCTAAAGAAAATATAGCTAATCTGTTCTTTTAGGACAATTTTTAAAGAGTAAATAAATAAATTGGCAATGAATACTGCACATTTTTTGTATTTTAGATACAAACTTACTCTTGAAAGGTTACCAATTTTAACTTCAAAGAAATTATTGACAGCATGTTAAGATTAGTGGTGAATCGGAGCTTTACCGCTGTCAGGTCGTGCAATCTGTGGTTAAAGGAACACATTTCTTTTGCTCCTGCGCAGCGTCGATGTCGTCTTTGGCCACGTCATCTCCGGCTTTGAGGTGATAAAGAAGATCGAGAGGCTGAAGACTGACTCCTCAAGCAGACCATACGCTGACGTGAGAGTGGTGGACTGTGGACAGCTGATCACAAAGTCCGCCAACGATGGTAGGTCCAGTGTGGGTCTGTTTTTATTAATTTATTTATATATTTAATGTGCATTACTCCAGTGGTTCCTAACTCTGGTCCTTGAGGAACACCATCCTGCATGGTTTAGTTGCTTCTCTGCTCCAACTCACCTGATTTGAATGAATGGGTGATTAGCAGTCTTCTGCAGAATTTGAGGATGTAAATAAGTAACTGAATCAAGTGTGTTAAAGCAGAGAAACAACTAAAACATGCAGGATGGTGTTCCTCAAGGACCAGGGTTGGGACCCTTTATTACTCCACTTGTCAACTTCTGCAATTCCTTCGGTAGATGTTCATTCTTGGTTTGGCGTTCATGTTCTTACTCTTGGGACCACTTTCCACAGCTTATAACAAGTAGTGGACAACTTTGCCCTTTGATTTTTTTTTATTTTTACTTTTTGACAGACATTCACAGTAATTACAGCTCTTCGTTTTAGCTTCTTATTTATTATTTCACCGTTAGCGAAAGCGTTCAGGTCACTATGTTTTCCATACCTTTATACAAGGAGGGCACCCCGCCCTGTCAACAGAACCGAGCACCCTGCCTACCGAACTGTCCCCCCGTCGACAACTGCTAGCACTGATGTAGCGCTAAGCTAGCAGCGTGCAATACAGATGCGCTAGCTAAAAAGCTACAGAGGTAGCGCTCTGTCCCACCTTAGTTGTTTTTTTTATAATCTTTAAGCTAATTTATTCTTGTTTGTAAGATAAAGTTCAGTTAAAGAAAAAGAAAAGATAGCTAAAGTTTAATCTCTAATTTTTGTAATAGGTTTTGAACCAAATTAAATAAACTTTGAAGCTGTAGAAGAGTCCCTTAAGACTTATAAGAACCTTTATTTTCTGAGGTTTCTAGAAAAGAAATGAAGTATCACAGAAAATGTGTTAACATTTTGACTGATTTTATTTTATTTCACACTTTTGCCTTTGTGTGCAGTTGGATAATTGTGCCTAAGGTTGTCATTTGGGTGGGAGAATTTCCCCCACTCTCTTTGATAAAGGTCAGGTAATCTGAGCTTCCACTTAATGGGGATTAACGAGGGGAGGGGATCTTTGTGTTGGCTTTAGTCCACCTTACCCTCCTGACATTTGAACCTTCCATTTTTACTTCTGTCTAACAACAGATGCATTCTGTAATTATTTTTTATTTCAGTTACACTCATTCTGTTGTGATTTTACTTTCAGTGCTTGAAGGCAAGCGGAAAAGAGCCTCCCTTAACTCAGACGACTCGTCCTCCCACTCGTCAGTGGAGTCTGAAGGTGAATCAGAACAAAATCTCAAACATCAAAAGAACAAAAAACATGCAAAAGTTAAACAGTCTAAAAAGAAAAGAAAAGTGGGGAAAAAGAAGATAAATATTCTTCCTTCTGAGCAAAGGTATTCTTTAGTCTTTTATCATAGTGACGTTTAACCATTTATATTGTAAATACTCTCATTGAGCTAAACATGTTGTTACAGCTCTCCAGGACCTGCAGAGAAAGAGATGGAAAATAATGAAGCTGAAGAGGAGAAGGAGCCGGGTGGGAAGAGGGAGAAGCCTGTCGTGCGACCGGAGGAAATCCCACCTGTGCCAGAGAACCGCTTCCTGCTGCGACGGGACATGCCCTCTCAGGAAATTAAAGCTGACGTGTCCGTAATCAAAGATACCATCACGTACTGTACACATCGAACAGTTTACAGATCAATAACTATAATAGTGGGTTGAATATGACCTAATGTTTTAACTTGTTCTTTTGTTTTCAGTTTTGAGAAAGAAAAATCTACTCTTTCAGCTGACCAGAAACCAGCCGTATCGAAGTCTGGACGGAAAATCAGAGGCAGAGGCACAATTGTATGTTCACTTATCTAATAAGACCAGATATTTAACACGTCACAAGTGTTGTCTCCATTTGAAGGTCTTTATTGACATTTTCATAGCCACGGATGCAGGTGATTCTGTGCTTCTTGTTTTAATGAACCTTAATGGATCTTACTGAGGCGACTGTCTAAACTGCAGATGTGCGTTTGACACCATCAACCATGAGATCTTCATGTCTAGGTTGGAGCAGTGGGTGGGCATCACAGGGTCAGCCCTCAAATGGTTTAGATCCTGCCTCTCTGACAGAACCTTTTGTGTTCACATTAAGGATTTTAGTTCATCATTGGCAACTCTTCAGTGGGGGTACCACAGGGGTCCATCCTTGGTCCTCTTCTCTTTTCTTTATACCTGCTGCCACTAGGTGCCATTTTCTGTAAACACATTCCCTTTCATTTCTATGCTGATTATCAAATTTACTTCCCTCTGAAGCACACTGGTGCACATTCTGTTCAGCCTCTTCTTGACTATCTGGTTGACATCAGGGACTGAATGGCTTTAAATTTCTTAAGTTTCAATGAGAAGATGTCTGAAGTCATGTTGTTTCCTCCTAACGGCATAATCAAGAACCACGGTATCAACCTTTCCTCTCTAGCCCTGTTGGAGAAACAAGTACTCACTAATTTGTATTAGATTAAACATGATTGTTAAATCCTGTTTTTTTCCAGCTGAGGTGACTATCTAAGCTGAAGCCCATACTGCCCAAAAACAACCTTGAGACTGTATTACATGCATTCATAACATCCAGGCTCGATTACTGCAATGCGCTTCTGTTTGGAATCAGTTGGATCTCCATTGCACCTTTACAACTGGTCCAAAATGCTGCAGCACGATTTTTAACTGGCACGTTACACCAGTTCGGGCCTCCCTGCACTGGCTCCCGGTCCACTTTCGAATTCAGTTCAAAATCCTTCTGTATGTTTTCAAATCTCTGAACATTTCTGCCCCCTCTTATTGTGCTGATCTGCTGCAGCCATATGTACCACAGCGGTCTCTGAGGTCAGCAGATCAGATGCTCCTATTGGTTCCAGGAACCCGTCTTAAGCTCAGAGGTGACAGGGCCTTCTCTGTTGCAGGTCCAAGACTGTGGAATGAGTTACCGCTACATGTCAGGCAGACACCCACTCTCGCTTAAAAACCCACTTTTATTCTCTGGCTTTTGACACTGTGTGATTTGTTCTTAACCTGTCTGTATTCTACAATGTTAGCCTTTTAGGTATTATCTTTTTCCATTTGGATCTATGTTTTTATGCTGTGTCCTTTTGCTTGTTTGTTTTTGCTGTACAGCACTTTGGTTGGCCTTGTTGCTGTTTTAAGTGCTTTATAAATAAAGTGGTATGGTATTTGTTTTAATTAGTATAGTAGGGAAAGTATATTCTAGCTAAACCGTTCGCTTTTGGCAAAAGTGCAAATATGACCAATTTACTTCCTTTTTAGAGATATCACACACCCACAAGATCTAAGTCACGTTCTGCATCTGTTGAGGAGCGTGGAAGCAGCGAAACTCCGCCACATTGGAAAGAAGAAATGAAGAGGACCAAAAATTATCAACCTCCGAGCACAGAGAGGTGGAGCAAAGGAGACAAGTAAGATGTTTTTAGATGACCTTCTGCCTTTTTAGTATCCATTTCTCTTCAGTTTCCTTCATACTTCTTTTGAATTGCCAGACTGAACGATCATTCAAGCAGATGGGAGGACAGAAGCAACTCGGCACGGTCCCAGTCAGGAGTGCGCTCCTCAGACCACAGCTGTGAGAGGTCCAGCCTGCACCATCAGAAGAAAAAGGAGAAGAAGAAAGCCAAACACAAGAAGAAGAGCAAAAAACAGAAACATGGCAAGAAGAAGAGCTCTAAGAACAAACCTCAGGAGCATTTTATGTCAGAAGGTGAAAGGTCAGCATCTTCAGAGAGGAAGTCTGGAAGATCCCGTTCTCCGACTCGCTCTCCAAGTCTGCATCACGCCCGGAAAAGGCAGAGATCCTCGCCGTCCAACTCCAGGTCCTACACAAGCAGCCGATCCAGATCTCGAGGAAGGTACAGGTCCTATTCAAGATCCAGAAGCCTCTCTAGGTCGAGAAGTCGATCTTTATCTAGATTCAGATCGCCATCCTTTTCTCGGTCTCGATCAAGAAACAGATCCAGGTGTAAGTCCAGATCAAGATCCAGATCCACCTCAACTTCTAGATCTGAGTCTAGAAAAAGGAGCCAAACCAGATCTCCAAAGAAGAGGAAAATTGCCAAGCCCAAACAAGATGTCACAGCGAATGTGAAGCTCCCAGAAAAGAAAATCACTATTGTCCCCAAACTGCCAACAGTCCCAGAACCTGAAAGAATCCCTGTCATCCCACTGAGTGACAGTCCTCCTCCGTCTCGCTGGAAACCAGGACAAAAACCCTGGAAGCCCTCCTACATTCATATCCAAGAAATCAAAGCTAAAGTAGCGCCCACTAAGCCTGCTGCTGTTGCACCGGTAGTGAAAATCATCACAGAAAAAGCTTCAGTTACACAGAAATCTGTACCAGAGGGCTCTCAGGACCACAAAGCGCACAAACCTGCACATCGTTCGCGCAGCAGGTCGTCCAGAAGCAAGTCCTACAGTCGCTCCAGGAGCAAAAGCTCTAGTAGGTCCAGGTCAAGATCATCTCACAGGGACAAGAGCAGATCATCGTCCCACAACAGATCAGAATCTGTAGTTGACCAGAAGACAAGTAGCAAAAAGGAGGAGTCACTGGACAAGGAATGGAATGAGTATTACAGCTCCCTGAATAGGATAAAAAATTTAGACAAGTTTGTGTCTCTTAGTAATAGTGGAGACGGTCTCACAGAGTTGGAGAAGGGATCAGGCAGTGAGATGAGTCATGATGTCATCGGCTCTTTAGAGACAATAAAAGACAGAGGCAACTCGCAGGATCCTGAGACGATATACTCCAACCCACTGCTAACAGAGAGCTTTAATAGCTGGTCTGAACTGGATAGTGACAGTGAACAGGTGAGCCAAAGCACTGGTACTGTCCCAGTAAAAATGCAGAAACAAGATGTTCAGTCCAATGAAGTTCCAGACAAGAAGTTGTCCTCTCTCACTGGATGGAATTCAGACAGCGACTCTGAGAAAATAACCAGCAGGACAGTAACAATATACGAAAAAGAGGAAGGAGAGGCTAGTTCCGAATCAGATAACGAGACTTTAAAAAAGACATTGGAAGCATCTTCAGCATATAAGATTGCTGCTGCAGCTGCTCCATCTTCCTCCTCTTCTTCAGGTCAGACATTAGGAAGTCCCGAGAAGGTTGTAGAGCCAGAAAAGCACAAGAGTAAGAAGAAAGCCAAACGGAAGCATAAACACAAGAGGAGAAGCGAAAATAAGGCCAATTCTCATCACGGTAAGGTCAAGGCTAAGAAATCCAAGAGAAAACATCAGAAGCTGAAGGAGACGTTTCACTGGCAGCCTCCTTTGGAGTTTGAAGAAGAGGAAGAGGAGGAATCTAAAGTGGAGAGACTTAGTCCTGTTAAAGAAAATTATGTTAAGGAGACGAGCAAAAAGGATTCATATCCCCCTAAAGAAGAAGAAAGGAGGCAGCAGAGATTAAAAGAAGGCAGCAACAAAAACACCAAACACTCTGAGCCTCGCCAACATTCATCCAACAGTAACAGTGCAAACAGCTCTCACTTGTCCAGAGTCAAGGTGCCAGAGATACTCGAAGATATGGTAATTTGTACTCCGGAGCACTGTGTTGATGTTATTGAAACTCCATTTGCACAGGATCTTTACAGCAACACTTCTGGATTCACCTTAAAATCTACCTCGGAGTCGTCAGAAATGGCCGGCAGTCACGGCACTTTGCTTCAGAGCAAAGAAAATCCAGCTGCTTCTTCCACAAGAGCTGTCGGACAGAAAGACGAAGCAACCAAGGCTGTAATAAATTTCAAATGGAAGCCACTGAAAGGAATGTCCGCTCCACAGAACCTGCACTTTCCACCCGTCGCTGTGAAGAACGCCCAAACTCAACAGAGCCAGATGCACAACGCGCGTGGAGTGAGAATGGAGATAAAGAGCAAGAGCCGAGTCCGACCGGGCTCTCTGTTCGATGAGGTTCGTAAGACCGCAAAGCTCCACCAGAGGCCTAGGAACCAGGAGAGCTCGAGCGAAGAAAAGTCTCCTTCTGTGGGGAAGACGTCTCGCACGCTCTCCCCAAAGAAGTCCGGGTCTCTGCCAAGGAAGTCCCGCTCAGCGTCCAGTCAGGGGTCACGCTCCAGAGAGTCGTCCCACTCCTACAGCAGGTCCAGAAGCCGATCCCGCAGCTCTACCTACTCCTCCAGGTAGGAGGAAAAGAATCCATATCAGAATCTAAATTGGTCTTCCCGGCGTTTAGTTTTAGTCACTTCTGTCTTTTATCACTTCGCTCTTTAAGAAGCCGCAGCAGAAGTCGAAGGAGACATCGGAGAAGATCTCGTTCTCGCAGCAGCACGTATCACAGCTACAGGAGCAACAGGTACACTAATTTAACACGTCATGGGAGAATCAAAGAATTAAATTGAAATGGTCCCTTTGGAAGAAAAGAACAAACCTGACTTTACACTAAAGCTTCCAAATGTTTGTCTTTAAGGTTTAGGCTCATTATTTTGATGATTTGTTAAAACTATCTTCATAACCTTCCCAAGACTTAACCTTTCTCTCAAAATGTTATTTATCTAATATTGTCTAAAAAGTTGTTTTTATTTTTCTTCTCATCAGTCGCACGTACAGTAGAAGCCCATCGAGAAGCCACTCGTATAATCACCATCGAAGGTCGAGGTACGTGAAGCTTTTCATGCAAATTCAGATTTTTTTATTTATGCGAAGGTAATTAAACATTTATATACCAGATATAAGAGCCTGAAACCTTCACCTTAATTATCTAAAAACAGTGGCTGCAGAAGAGAGCAGAAGTCTTTTTTTAATGGAAATTAAAACATGTAAAATAACAAAAGGTTTTACAAAGTATTTAAACGTAAAGAAAACCCTCATATTTCCTTTTGTATGCATGTTGTACTTCAGTTGCATATCTAACTTTTTGAGCAGAAAGTTGTTTTTGTAGCGAATCTATATCCGTGCACTCAACTGTAACAGGCAGCAACAAGTAACAAACCTAGAATTAAGATTTATCTAAATTACAGAGTAACTAGAGAAATTGCATTTCCTGCGAAAATGCAGCGTGAATGCTTATTGCTCAAGACTTGCTGGAAAAACAGCTGAAATTGGCACCAAAAACTACAAAAAAAACATGCTGAAATGAAGCTGAAATGGAAGAACAAGCCTAAATTAGCAGAAGGAAGCAGAAAAAAACACATATTTGCTTACTTTGGTTTAAATAGGCAGAAATTAGCACAAAATTAAGAAATTGGCTAAAAAAGAAGCTGAAATTAGCGAAAAGTAGCCGAAAAGGCAGAAAGAAGCTTAAACAACCATAAGGAAGCAGAAAGAGATGAAATGTGGAATCAGCTGAAAAAGCTAAAATTAACATAAAATAGCTAAATAATAGCTGAAATAGCAGGAAAAGCTTAAACTAGCAGAAAAAAAAGCTGAAAGGAGCATAACAAGCTTAAATTATCAGAAATAAGTTAATTAGGCTGAAATTAGCAGAAATTACCATGAAAAACTTGGAATTTATCTGAAAACAGCTGAAATTGCCTAAAAATGCTAAAAAGTTTGATCAAGCTTAAATTAGCAGAAGAAAGCAGAAAGTACATGTTTGCCAAATTAGGCTGAAAAGAAGCTGAAATTAGCACAAAAAATTGGAAATTATCTGAAAATAGCTGAAATTAGCAACAAAAAAAAGCTGTAAAGTAGAAGCTTACTAGATGGAAGTGGAGCACATTTTTTGATGAATTCGTTTGGAAAAAGTTTAAATGGGTGCAAAAAATATGGAATTAGCTGAAAAAAGCTAAAATTAGCATAAAATTGCTGAATAGTTGCTGAAATAGCACAAAAAGCTAAAATTTACAGAAATAAGCTGAAAGGAGCATAACCAGCTTAAATTAGCAGACGAAAGCAAAAAGCACACGTTTGCCAAATTAGGCTGAAAAGAAGCAGAAATTAGCACAAAAAGGTTGAAATTATCTGTAGCTGAAATTAGCACCAAAAAACACAACAACTGAAAAGTAGAAGCTCAAGTTACCAGATGGAAGTGGAGCACATTTTTTGCTGAATTCGGTTGGAAAAAGTGTAAATGGGTGCAAAAAATATGGAATTAGCTGAAAAAGCAAAAAATAGCATAAAACCGCTAAATAGTTGCTGAAATGGCACAAAAAGCTGAAACTTGCAGAAATAAGCTGGAAGGTGTATAACAAGCTGAAATTAGCAGAAAGAAGTTAGACGAAGCACAAAAATGTTGTAGTTAGCATAAAGAACCTGAAAGGAGCACAAAACGGCTGAAAGTAGCTGAAAAAAAAAGTTTAAATTTGCACAAGAAAGCTGAAAGAAGCTGAACCAGAACAAAATGTGAAAGGAGCAGTAAAAGGTTGTAAACAGATCTAAAGACTTGAAGGATGTAAAATGAGCTCAATTTATTTTCTAAGGGGGAAAAAAAAGTGGCAGAAAAGGCTAAATATTTCAAAAAGCTAAAGTTGTACCAATTCCAAAAGTCATAGCACCCTTCTTGTGAAAGAGCTGAACGTTTTGATATATGATTTGTTGAAATAGCACAAACATTGTGGAACGACAAAGATGCCAAAAAACGTACGGCAGAAAAATGGATCACAATAGTGTGAATGCTTCATAAACATTCACAAAATAAAAGTACATCATTGTTTTTGTTACTGTGATACTTAAACGTTTTTTCTTGTATACGTTGAAACGGTGAATTAATTTAGGTGAATTTGCAGAAACCCTTTAAATCATACGAAGCGTTTGTGCATAAGGTGTTAAGATGGCTAACATCTGCATCATCTTTTATCATTGTGTGTCTGGTTGTAGTTTTGAAACCAAGGCTCACTCGGCAGATATAATCTCTCCGCAGGTCCGACTCTGACGACAGCTACTCGAGTCGGAGCGTGAGCAGGAGGCGAGGGCGCAGACGGAGTGACAGCTACAGGAGCTCCGAGCGGCGATCCCGGTACGTTCCTCGATGAACTCTGAAAAACGATCGCAGCCTTCTGTCTTTCGATACGGAGGCAGATTCGTTTTACATTTTAGCAACTCTAAACTCTTCAACGAAACTTCTCTTTTACTGTGTTTTACGTTAAAAGCTTTTAAGGCTCAATGCGTTTTCCACTGAACTCGAGTTTATCTATAATCCTGCACACATCCATGTGTTTTAAAATCTGACATTTTTCACCCTGACCTCTGTGCGGACCAGGTCGTACCGCTCGTCCAGTCGCAGTGTTTCCAGGCGCAGGAGGCGCAGTCGCAGCAGTGGGTACAGCTGAGCTGCAGCTCTGAGAGGAGCGGTCTGCCCCCAACATAAATCGGCAGCTACAGCGCCAAGATTTTTACCAATTCAATACTGTACTGTGTCTTTTAAGCTGTAGGAAAAGGCATCAAACACTGTAGAATGTAAAATAATACAAACTTTATTATTGCAAATAACCAGCCAGTTATAAAGCCACTAAACTAAAACTTTATTGGATACAGGCTGCAAATAATTTACATTGTTGTATATGTTTGTATTCTTTAAAATGTCATAACCGAAGTGTATTTTTTATGTGTTTCAGGAGGTTTGGGGTTACTTTGTTTTTGAGCTGAAGATTTAGGTTTTTCAGAATATTCCTTGTTTGGAAAAGCTATTTGTGAAATAAAAGATTAATCTTTGTGCATCAGGGTGTTTTTTTTTTGTTTTTTTTTTGTCTCCCCAAAACTTTTGTGAATGTTAAAACTGCACTCAGAGTAAATCTCTCATTTTATATTCAACTATGAATATCTTTAATAAATGCAGATGCATCTAGAAGTTTGGCGTCTTTTTTTTTTTTTAAACGAGAATTAAATTTTTTATTTTTTTTACAAGTCTTGCGTTAAAAGCTGCTTTTTTCCTTAAAATCTGGGAAACACTGATGGATAAGAGAAAATGCTTAGATGCATTTTAAGCTGCGCTGCCATCAGAGCTGCCTCTTTGAAGCTTTTAAATTGCTCAAAACTTATAATGTCCTGACTTGTTACTTGTTTTCTGCCAGTTGTGATGTCATGTAGTTCAGATTTTATAATGTTTAAAATTACACTTTAAGCCTCGTTGTATACATCTGTGTTAAAATAAGAGCAGGAGGTGAGTAAACTTTTATTTTTTGTAATAGTTTATCAACAGGAGTGTGCGCTGCACGGAAATAACATTTTCTTACATTTCTTCAAACATCGTTTAAATTGTATTTAAAGGATTTTAAAGGCGCTAATCTTTAGAGAATATTATTCCCTTTTAGTCACTTTTTATTATACTTCTTTAAGAACTGGGACAAAAAAGAGAAGAACCTGACGACGTTTGCTCATTAAAAAAAAAAGCAGATTTCAGTTCACAAAACAATATTTTAATGTACATGTTGCAGAATGTTTTTATTTATTTGACAAAATTTAGATCTTCAGGCTGGTGGTCATGTATGTCTCCGATCTTCTAATATATTCTTATTTAATGGACAACAAAAGTATACATTTTTATAAAATGTACACCTTAAACAAGAGGTTGGGCTTTTATGCATCTCCTGCAATAGTTTGCTCAAAAATGTAACAAAGCTGAACTGGTTACTTTAACCCACAATGCATTTTCTTAAATATTATTAATTTAAATACTTTTATTTTTAAACACTTGTGTGTCAAGTTTAATTTGTAAACTTAGTTTTATAGCTAAAAAAAAAAAAAAAAAAAAGTAAAGTCAGGTCATTTGGACTTTATTATGAACCTTTATTTATTTAACCAGGCAAATTACAGATGTATTTTACAAGGGAGGCCTGAAGGCAGCTGAACATGCATGTTTTTGGTCTGTGAGAGGAAACCGGAGCACGAGAAGATCATGCAAACTAATCACAGAAGGTCCAACCAGGGATTGAACCCAGGACCTTCTTGCTGTGAGGCAACAATGCTAACCACTGAGCTATTGTGCTGTCAAAGTAAATGTTTTTTTTAATTTTACTTTTACAAACACCATATACACACAGTATATATAATACTTTTTTATTTTTTAGAATTTATTTTTTTTTCCTTTTCTGATAAATAATTTTGCATTCTCTCTTGCTTTTCTGGAAATATTGTGATCTTTAAAAGAAAAATTATTATTTGAGATCAAAGTGCTAAAAAAAAAAAGGCGCTAACTTGCGGTAAAAGATGATTTCTGTCGCGCACGAGAAGTCCTTGTAGTATGTGTGTTGCAGGGTGAACTCCATGACCTCCGCACGTGCCGCCTGTGACGTCACGCGGTTTCAGGGGAGCGCACAGGCGGAAGCGCGTCGCGGACTCTGCGCCATCTGTCCGCACTCCCAAACACAAACATTAAAAACAAACAATAATACAAACCACTCCACGTTTGTTTCTTTTCTTGTTGTTGTTGTTGTTTGTGTGTGTGTGTTGCCGTTTTTGAGCAGAGCCGTGTCTCTTTAAAAGCGTCTGACAAAAAGCCCATCTGATCCCTGAGCTCCAATCACCAGTTCCTCCTGCAGAAGCAGCCTCTGCATTTTTGTCCGTCTCAACGCTCCGGCTCCACTGAAGGGGGGAGACAGGGGGAGGCTGCAGAATGTGACGACCCCGCCGTCCTGTTCATGGCGAGGGGCGAACTGGAGAGGAAGGAGTTATTCTGGGACTCCTGAGCCTCGAAACGCTGGATCAAAATGGTAGGCTGCAGGGCAGAGCTGCGTTTTTATTTTTTTATTTTTTATTTGGGGGGGGGGGGGTCTGTCTCTTTTCTTTATGTGCATCCTTGAGCGCCTCAGCAGGCTCATCAAACTTGCGCCTCCTCGTCATCAGCAGCACTTCCTGTGTCAAGTTTTCCCAACTTGTCCTCCACAAGTTCCCTGAAAGGAGCTGCTGGTGCAGAAGGAGTTAAATTCTTTGAGCTCGGGACGCCTGGGGTCGTGACTGGAGCTCCTAATGGGGTGCACGTGCTGGTCAAAAGTATCAGCAATGCCGCGCAACTTTAGATGCTTGCAGGAACTTCTAGAGATTTGTGGACTTTTTTATTTTTATTTTTTGGAAAGAAAGCAACAATAATGTCAAGAGTTTCTTTCTTTGTTTTTTGTTTTTTTGGTCCTGCACTGTCATGTCAGAGTGCCTGGAGCAGGATGCAGTGGTGGAGCAATAATCCCACATCTGGAGGCTTGGGTTAATATCTGGGTCAGGTCAGTCGGTTAGAGCTGGTGCTGGCTGGGTGGCTCCTGCTGGGACGCTTCCCTCTTTTTCTTGTTTAGCTGGAAGTGCATGAGCGAGGTGCAGAGTTTGTGACTTTGTTTTAATCGTCTTCTATTTGGGGGTTTACATGCTTCAGATAACTACTGGAAATAGTTGGCACCAAAAGTGGGAGCAGTCTCAGGTGGGGTTTTTTTTTCTGTTCTGGAAAAGTTGGTGCACTGTGTGAAATAAATACAAACGGAGCACAAAGACCGTCCTGATGGATCGTAGTAAATACATCAAATGTTTTCTGGGAATGTTGTCCCGTGTTTTGGATCGTCGTCTTGCTGAATTACGCAAGGCCTTCTCTGGGAAAGACGCTTGGGTGGGAGTTGTAAAACTTGTTCATACTGTTCCGCGTTGATGGTGCCTTGATGTGTAAGCTGCCCATGCCATATGCACTAATGCAACCCCATACCATCAGAGACGCAGGCTTTTGAGCCATGTGCTGATAACAGGATAGATGGGCCTTCTCCTGTTTAGTACAGAGGATGTGGCGTTCGTGATTTCCAACATAATTTCAAATTGTATTAATCTGACCACGGAGCAGTTTTCCACGTTATGACAGTCCATTTTAAACGGGATTAAGCTCAAAGAAGAACGTGGCGTTCCTGGGTGGTGTTTATCCAGGCGTCTTTTCTTCTCATGCATTTGTCACGTCTAGACTGGACTATTGCAATGGTTTGTGGGTGTCCAAATACATCTTTCAAAAGCCTCCAGTTGATCCAAAATGCTGCTGCCAGTCTTAACTGGAGTTAGTGGGAGAGATCATCCAGTTTTCGCTTCTCTCCATTGGTTCCCTGTCAAGTCCAGAAGTGAATTCAAAATCTTTCTAACCTACAAAGCTCTCAACAACCTAGCTCCATTTTATATTTGATATCTTATTGTTCAATATTTTCCTAACAGAGCACTTTGCTCTCAGACTGCAGGCTTACTCGCGGTTCCTAGGGTTTCCAAAAGCAGAATGAGAGGAAGATCTTTCAGTTGTCAGGCTCCTCTCTTGTGGAACAAACTTCCAGTTTCTGTCCGTGAGACTGACACATTGTCCAGTTTTAAGACTGGGCCTAAGACTTTCCTTTTTGATAAATCCTATAGTTAGGTTTGGCTTGTTATGCTGCTATAAGCTTAGAATACTAGAGGACAACTTGATCTAATTTCCTTAAATAAATAGTTAAAACTGAATAGTTTTCATTTGATACTATTTCTATCTTAACATGTGATTCTTGACCTGCCATTGTGTATCTGTTCCTAACAAATCCAGACAATAATTTGTGGAAGTGTTCCTGAGCCCATGTAGTGAAGCCCAGAACAGAACCAGACCTGGTTTTAATGCCGTGGCCCCTGGGGGCCTGTAGACCATGTAACAATGACATTCAGCCTCATTCTTTATGCACAGATCCCTCCAGATCTTTAAATCATTGGATGATATAAGTTGTAGATGATCAGATAATCAACGTGCTCCCAGTATTCCACTGAGTAATATTCTTCTGAAGGTGTTGAACCTCTGCCCATCTTTACTTCTAAAAGATTCAGCGTCTCAAAAATGCTCTTTTTATACCCAGCCCTCTCGCTGACTTGTTGCTCGTTAACTTCATTTGTTGCGAAATGCTCCTCCGGCTGTTTTTCATGAACTTTTAGTCTTTTTTTTTTGTTCCCTCTCTCACCTTTTTTGAGATGTGTTGTTGCCATGAAACAATATGAATATCACAAATATCCGAACTAAATCAAAGTGCCATTAAGTGTTAATAAAACTTATTGAAGAGACGAGTGATGAAAATGTTGGTTTAATGTAACTGATTCAGTCACTGCAATATTTAGTAAATATATAGCAATCACATGTTTTCTTAATTTATTAAATGGCAAATGAGAACAAAATGGATTCAGATCTTATTGGGAAAATGCAAATTGATCAAAAACAATTGCTTGACGCATAAATTAGATGTGAAACAAACATCCATAAACTCAGAGAGACTGAGCCAAAATACATTTGTAAAAACCACAAAATGACGCAAAAGAAAAAAAAAATACATTTTCTGTGTGAATATTAGAACAACAGCTGAAAGTTGTTAAACAAGCTGAATCTGAGTTATTAAAGTAAACATGGTCAAAACGAAAGCTAAAAGCCCACATTAGCAAACCAGTAGCTAAATTAGCTAAATAACTGCTAATTTTAGTAGCTAACATTAGCTGAACAATAGCTAAAAACAAAACAAAAAAC